CTCTCTATGGAAGCTTAAAGCACTGGGAATCTAGTCCCAAAGATTACAACAAGATATTGTCATTCACGAAATCTTCAAAAGATTGCAGGATTGTCTTCGATCATTGGATGAATGGAAATGAATAATTAATGAATCTCCTTTTTTGTGCTTCGTTTATTTTTAGCATTGTTTTGGTGCAACTGCAATAATTTGTCGTAGTCATAGCATATTATGTTTTCTTTGCTTTTTTTTTTCTTTGGTTCTTTATAATTTTCTTGGCGAATATCGAATTAACTATTCCACATCTTTAAGGTGAATGAACTTGCAACTGAAATCAGCTGTTTGGAGCGATAGCTGATGCTTTTGCAGGCGAAATCTTTGCTGTTGTGACATCAATCTCTGATTCTGCTTCACAAATTTTCTTTTCTTTTTCTATTCTTTTTATTTTGGCAATAGAACGACCACTCTAACAAATGAACTTCGTTCAGGACAAAGAAAACGAAGTTAATTGGTAACAGAAGAACCAAAAGAACGAAAACAAAATAAAGAAAGGGAAGAGCTTCTTGTCCCACAATAATATGGAAAAGTTGATTAAGGCGATTAGATAAAATGCAGGAAGGATTTTTAGAGTTCTCTTCTCTGTCAATTTTAGAGTTCAAATATTGGGATTGTCAGTTGGGCTAGGAAGGGCATGTGTCAGGTTTAGAGTTCGAATGTTGGGATAGTTAGTTGGGATGGGAAGGATGTGGAGAGAAAATAATTAAGGTTCAAATACTGAGATTGTCAGTTAGGATAGGAAGGGTTTGGGATGAAAATAATTAAGATTTTTGTCTTTTTTTTTCTTGTCAATTGTTATCAGCTACTCCTACTCGAACCTATTTCGAAGAGAGGGGGTAGGGGAGTTGATCCAATAGGATCATGGGGAACCGACATGGACTGAACCAGTATCGGACCATACAGGTGCATTACACAGGCATATGGATCTTAGAGAAGCTACATTAAGTGGCAACTTTGATAGGAAACAAGATTTGAATCATTGACCTCCCACCCCACAAGATATATGGTAGCCAACTACTCTAGAGGTAGTTGATTATTAAGGCCGATAACATAACGGATGCAATGCTATTGTTAAAATATGTAATTATTGAGTACATGCTTTACTACCTCATACTCTAATTTGTGATTTTCTAATGTAATATAATAAGGGTTTTTCTAACCGTTGCCCTTGGGGTACTCACTAACACATCTAGTAATCATCTAATTAATCTACCATATATATATATATATATACACATACAAACAATTATTATCCTCTCTTATATTTATATACTTTCCCTATTTAATCTTATCTATCATTCCTTGTATTTATTTACTTTCCCTAATTAATCTTATATTTTAAAAAATATAACACTTGAAATATATTTTAATGTATAAGGCACTCGTTGATATAATAATTATCTTGATTTTTAGGAATATATTACTAGGGTGCCAACCTATTAAAATTGTGCAACATTGCCTTTAGTCAAAAGTTGTGGGCTTTAGTTGCATTTATGAGTTGGATAAAAGGGATAATTTCATAAATCTCTCCTGAAGTTTTTGACAATTTTACTTGGCTCCTTTAACTTCTATGTACTTCCCCTAGCAGAGAATTGGAATCCATTGCTGATATAATGTGTGGCAAAATGGCTTTTATATCCTTAGTGTTTAGTGATATTAACCGAACAATTCCTAATAAATCACTATTAGATTATCTTTGAAGGAAAGCAAAAGAAAATTTTGCAATTGTCTTCAGCTAATTGGTGCAAATTTCTCCTCCAAATCAAAATGGTAAGCTTTTCTAATAATAGTTACTTTACTATTAAAAAAATAAGCATCCTATATCATTTAATTTTTTATTTTGGCCTTTATATTTAGTTGAACTACTTTGTAGATTTAGCTATTGATTAGTCTAATCATCCAAAATTTGGTAATTCATCTGCTACATATTTTTAAAATTTGCCAGTAGGCTTTTACTTTTTGTTTGAAAAGTTTTAATTCATTTAATAGTTTGTCAAAACAAATAGTTGCAACAATTACTATGGCGTCTTTGGCACCAAAGTATGTTCTCTCTCCAACAATTATTTTTTTATTCAACCTTTCTTTGATTTATATAAAAGTTTCAAAATAAGGGATTTAAGTGAGATTTCAAAAATTAAGGGGATCCAAGTGAAATTGTTAGAAATCTCAAGGGAAGTTTCTGAAATTATCCCTAAACAAAAGTCATTCATGTGGCTAGAGTAGAGCAAGAACATTTTACGGCTTTGGAATGTTTTGTTTTACAAATTATTGGCAACAGACAAATTTCCAAAATTCCATTTTCACTACATGATTGTGGGAGGCTTTGGCTAGTGAATCAACTCTTGAATCGTTTCATGGTTTTCACTAGATTTTTAAGTGATTATGCATTTTATGAAATGTAGAAAATTGTAGCTGAATACCTGATCACTACAAATATACTGTTCATCTTGGCAGCTGCAGCTCAAAAAATCTATGTTAACTATCAAAGCTACATTGGAAAAATTCTCTGCAATGTCAGGCCTCAACCCAAATTTGGCAAAGTCTGAACTTTTCATGTTTGGTGGTAATGTTGATCTTTTAATGTTGAACTGGATACGGTATTTAGTTCACTTATTGGCATGCCACTTGGATGCTAGCCTGTAAAATACCTTGGTATTCCGTTGGTGTCTACAAAGCTCACATCTATGGATTGCCAACCTATTCTAGACAAAATGTTGAGAAGGATCAAAAGCTGGTCAGCTAGGAAACTATCATATGGGGGGTGCTTGATTCTGATTAAATCAGTCCTAAATAGTTTTGTTGTGTATTGGGGTAGCATATTAATTATTCCTAAGATGCTTATTAAGAAAGTGGAAAGTGATTTGAATGCTTTTTTGTGGTCAGGTGTTGAGATGAAGTCAACAAACACCAAGGTTAGTTGGTGTGAAGTGTGTAAACCAATGAAGGAAGGTGGTTTGGGGTTACAAAACTTGAAATTGTGGAATAAGGCTCTATCAATTAGACATATATGGGATATATACCATAAGAAGGACACTTTGTGGATTCAATGGATCCATTTTTACTTGCTAAAAAATGAGAGTTTTTGGGCAATCCAATCAAAGACTAACTGTTCTTGGTGGTGGATGAAGCTGTTGAAGTTGAGGTTAGTAGTGAGAGGCTACATCAAGAAGGTCACTGGCAATGACAAACAGACATTTATCTGGCATGATAGTTGGCATCCTATAGGAATTCTTAAATATCTTTATTCTCCTCAATTACTGAAGCTGCTTGGAGTTTCAGAAAATGCTAAGGTCTTTCCTATAATCAAATAAGCGAATTGGAATTGGACAATGGGTAAATGTTAGAGAGGTAAATTGATATAGTTGATAGATGCCAGCCCTTCTTATTTTCTTCCTCTTCTAGAGACTAATGATTATGCTGTTTGGACATGTGTTGTTCATGGTGTCTATTCAGCAAAATCTGCTTTAAACTATTTTCATCTCCTAGAATTAAAGTGCCTAGGCACTTACTTGTATGGGGTAAGAGACACTATCTCAGGCATTCTTTTATATTATGGCTTGCTTGTAGGCAGATATTAAACACGAAAGAGAGACTATGTTCTTGGGGATTGAATGCTAATCCTATATGTGAGTTGTGTTCAACATATGGCGAAACTTTGGGCCACCTAATTTTCTAGTGTCCATATTCCAACTATGTGTGGGAACATGCGCAACAAAAGTGTTTGGTGTATAGCCATGCTCTTGAATGGGATAGAGAATTGCAACGGATGATCATGCATTGCTCTCAGCAAAACTTTGTTTCTCAAGTAAGAAGGATCACGTTTGTAGCTACTATGTATCACTTGTTATGAGCAAGAATCAGCAGGTGTTTAAGAAAATATTGCATTCTCTTGAGTATATAGTTCATATGATTCTTAAGGATATTCGAGGCCTAGTGATATGATGGAAAAAGGTGGATAGAAAGTAGGAAAATTTATAGCTATGCGCTGACCTTGATATTCCTTTGCTTCATTGATGACATTGTAGTATAGATTACATGTTTCTTTTCTTTATTTTATGTATTTGATTAAGGGACAATTCCTTCTATAGTGTACATTCTTCTTTGGATCAATAAAAGATTAGGAATTTACAAAAAAAAAAAAAGATATACATAAGGAGTTTTGTAGCCATTCTTGGTATCCTAGCTTCAGATAAAAGTAATAGAGCTTCAATATAAGAGTGTTTGAGATTCAATTATAAGAGTTCTTGATTGAGAGTGTCGTCTTGAGTGTGCCACTATACTTGTTTCTTTGAGTTTTCACCTAAATAGTGACGAATTTAAATTGATTGGTCTAAATCACATCCAACCTACTATATAAATGTACACTAATAATATTTATTGTCCCTCATATTTATACACTTTCTCTAATTACAATTATTACCTTCCATTATATTTATACACTTTTCCCTATTAATTTTACCTTTCAAAAAATTTTAACACCTAAAATCTAGAGAGAGATGGTCTCAAACAAGAGAGAAAAATAAAAGACAACTACGAATTCACACACATCAGCTCATCGAAAGTTCAAGTCACCTTTTCTGGGTTGCATCCTTCAAATGTTCCTAGGATCATGACCATTTCCACACAAGAAACAGAGTTGCAGCTCGGAGAAGAGTTTATGGACGTGGGTTTGGTTGTCTCGGTTGTACGGAAGCTGAACAGTCACTATTGGAAGTAAAGCTAGCTCTGTGTAACTTTCTATTTTGGGTTGGCGCTGTTTTTTCAATTTTGAAACCTCCTACGATGAGAAGAAAAGCTCTCAAACTAGAGAGAGATGCTCATCAAATTAATTACTTCGAAAGCTTATAAATTCACCTAATCATGAGCTCCAATACATACCAACAACCTCTGAATCAATTATGGATTGGCAGTTTTCTTCTGTGAAGGTAATGAAGGGATTGTGTTTTTTTATTGTATTTTCCATGATGGTTATATCTGATGCCTCAAGCAAGAAGATTCCGATCAAGGAAGCGTTAAGCCGCTCAAACAAGATCCCTCTCAAGTCCATCAAGGTTTCCTCACTTTTGTAGAGACAGTACATGCATCCTTTCCTCACTCATGCTTGTGTACATATATCTTAGTGCTAATGCTTCTGTATTTTGCTTTTGTTCTTGTTTTTGTTTTTTTTAGGATTTATACTCACTTTTTGATTATTCTCTTCTTTTTTCGTCGGTCGCTTTTTCTTTTAATCGACTAATCTCTTGTTTAATTTGTTGAAAAGTTAATTATGGTTTCCATATTTGCGAGACTGATACATGGTTGCCTCAAATGACAGAGTCCAGATGGTGATATTATTGATTGTATTCATATTTACCGCCAACCGGCATTTGATCATCCTTTACTCAAAAACCATACCATTCTGGTAAATCTTTCATTCGCACACAAGTATACGAATGAGTTTGCAAAATAGTGCAATTACAAAATAAAATCCTATATATTTTACCCAAAGAGATTGGGCCAATAGTTAGGGGAAGGTTCCTAGAGTGTTCTCTATTGTCAAATTTAGGGTTCAAATATTGAAATTGGCAGTTTGGAGTAAAAAAGTTGTGAGGAGGGGTGGGAGGTAATAATAATAATAATAAAAATCTTATATCTTTTGATATTCCAGACCAGGCCTAGTTATCATCCAAGAAAAGAACTATTTAGTGAGAATGGTATATTCAATTTTGAAGCCCATAGCCACGACGATACAGTCACTCAGTTATGGCAGTTGAATGGGAGGTGCCCTGCGGGAACAATTCCTATCAGAAGACACCGAAACACAAGAAACATCAAGGGACATGCAAAGGAGAAACACCAAAGTGTTGCCCAGCTTTCTTGAGTTGAGTTCAAGCTTGTGCCCAATTCTAATCTTGAGGTACCACAAGGAGTTGATCGGAATTAAATGTTTATACCTTTCCTGAATTGTCAAGTTTCGATAGACATAGTAGGCCAAATGATCAAAATATTTCTCCAAGTATTTTAGTAGGGTTTTTCTATTTTGTGCTCTTAGGACACATGATAAGAGCTGGATCCAAGTGTTAGTTGTTCAGAGAAAAATTTAAAATTTTTTCGTTTAAGTTTCCTAAATTTATGGGTAGATGATAATGTTTAAAATTTGAAGTGAGTTACGGATAGATGCTAATGTTTAAAATTTGAAGTGGATCCATCTCTTATATTATAAATCTTATATACATTGACAGTTTATATACTATTACGGTTTTTTTTTTTGGTTGCCCTCTCGGTATCCGAAGCTTTGCCCCGACTAATCTGGACCCGACCCGCGTCGCGCACCTGGTTATGGTGGGTGAGTCTCCCAACAGGGGTGTCTGCGTACACTAGGACTCGAACACGAGACCTGCTTAAGCGAATCCGAGCCGCTTACCACTCGGACCAACCCCTGTTGGTATATACTATTACGGTTGAATGTACGATATAGATGTAAAATTTGGGTTTCAAATTCAAATTTAGATTATGTGTCATGCATCCAATGATAAAAGTGTATACACTGTCAGTGTATAGAAGATTAATCCTAACTTTATAGAAACTTTGTATTGATATTAGTTCTGATGATTGGACGCTAATTAAGAAGGTCTTGAACTTTATCTGACAATCTTTTCATATTAGTTGATTTTCCCATTTTTATTTGTTTAAGCGTGCATTTGCTTATGTACAAAGTGGCAAGTACTTGGGAGCAAAGGCAAAAATAAACGTCTGGAAACCCCAAGTTCAGAACCATGAGTTTAGCTCGTCTCAGATTGCAATTCTCGGTGGTCCTAATTCAAATCTCAGTGCCATTGAAGCGGGTTGGATGGTACTTCATCTGTATAATCTTTTATAGAGTACTCATTTTGCTGTTGCATTATATAAATATGCAGGCATTGTCTCATGCTTTATAACATGCATTTGTCTCAATTTCTAAAATGATAGGTATTCCCAGATTTATTTGGAGATGACAACCCAAGACTCTTCACTTGTTGGACTGTAAGTTAGTAAATTTAGACTGAAGTCAGTAAATTTAATCTAAATGTATTGTGAATTTTGTACTGAATGGTGGGAATTTCAACAGAAAGATGGCTACCAATCCACTGGGTGCTACAACTTGCTTTGCTTGGGTTTTGTTCAGATTAGCAAAAAGTTATCATTGCGAGCCACCATTTTCCCCATTTCTACCTATCATGGTCCACAATTTGATATCACCTTATACATTTGGAAGGCAATGGAACTCAAAATGGATGCCAAATAAACATAGTTTAGTAGTTAAAATGTTTAAGAACACCCTTTTTCTGACATCTTAATCCTTCAATTTTATTGCTTCTTCCCTATACGTTTTTTTTTCTCTCTGAAACATACTTTATAACACATAATAGCTGTAGAAATCGATTAATGAAATTCTTTTTTGAGTTTTTTCTAATTGTATGTCTGGTGGTCACTTGTTAGTACACTTAAATCATAGTTAATGTTAAACATTAATTTATCTAGAACTTTTTAAATTCAGCATGTTTGATAACAAAAGTGCCTTACCACTTAATAAACTAAACACGGCTTAATTCGTGCACAAAATTGCAAGTGAAAAATTTTAACTAAATTTTCTGAATTGACAGCACATATTATACCTTTCACACATATAACACACTTTTGTACAGGCTCCAATACAAAATATACATTTGCTCTCTTTTGTTTGACATGCACACACACAACACACACAAAAATATATACGCTTAAGAACTACATGTCTGTTGTTTTATTATTTTCTCTTTCTCTCTCACACACACACTCTTATTTCTCGCCAAATACACAAAAAAGGAATTCTTTTTAAAGACAAAAATATAATACTTGTGCGATATTTTAATTCAGCGCTATATTTCAATTAGTTTTCAAATAGATATAATTATATCAATTCAGCAACTTAATACTTTCAGCTCTTAATTTTCAGATTTCAAACTTTAGTTTTATGAGGTGAGACAATTTGGTATGTGAATATACACACCAATAATTACTGCCCTTCTTTGCCTTTATAAACTTATGTAATTTAACTTTACTTTTCTAAAAAGAAAAATTACACTTGAACTCAATCTTAACAAGTTCGCACCAAAAACTCCTTAGATGGCTCCTTTTTTTTCACTTGAATTCAAAAAATTTATCTCATGGAAGTTTTCTTTAGGACCCAAAAAAAGATGCGTGGTGGAAGTTTTCTTTATCTCATGGAAGTTTTTTCACTTGATATAATTATATCAATTCAGCAACTTAATACTTTCAGCTCTTAATTTTCAGATTTCAAACTTTAGTTTTATGAGGTGAGACAATTTGGTATGTGAATATACACACCAATAATTACTGCCCTTCTTTGCCTTTATAAACTTATGTAATTTAACTTTACTTTTCTAAAAAGAAAAACTACACTTGAACTCAATCTTAACAAGTTCGCACCAAAAACTCCTTAGATGGCTCCTTTTTTTTCACTTGAATTCAAAAAATTTATCTCATGGAAGTTTTCTTTAGGACCCAAAAAAAGATGCGTGGTGGAAGTTTTCTTTATCTCATGGAAGTTTTTTCACTTGATATAATTATATCAATTCAGCAACTTAATACTTTCAGCTCTTAATTTTCAGATTTCAAACTTTAGTTTTATGAGGTGAGACAATTTGGTATGTGAATATACACACCAATAATTACTGCCCTTCTTTGCCTTTATAAACTTATGTAATTTAACTTTACTTTTCTAAAAAGAAAAATTACACTTGAACTCAATCTTAACAAGTTCGCACCAAAAACTCCTTAGATGGCTCCTTTTTTTTCACTTGAATTCAAAAAATCTATCTCATGGAAGTTTTCTTTAGGACCCAAAAAAAGATGCGTGGTGGCTACAATATGGAAACAACACTATACTTGGTTACTGGCCTGCTTCCGTATTTACACACCTGGCTGACAGTGCTTCCGTGATCGGATGGGGTGGAGATAGGGATGGCAACGAAGCGGAGTTGGGAAGGGGGACCCCTCCCCCATCCCCCGCCTTGCTGCCTACAAACTCCCCCAGCCCCCGCTCCATCCCCCGTCCCCTGCTTCTCCCGCCCCGCCTCGCTTCCCCCGCGGGGTTAATAAAAATTTGTTATATAATTTTATTATGGTTAAATTTTAGCAAATAATTAAGTACTAAAATATCAACACATCATCAAATTATTGGGGAGATTTCTTTTACTATGGAGGACCAGGGAAAAATGATAATTGTAGATAATGCTTAGGCACAAATGAATGATGCGTTGGCTCGGTGCATTACATAATAAAATTTGAATAAAGGGGGCTCACGAATTAGAAAATATGTGGTCATGAGTCAATTAAGCATCTTAATACTCAATAGGAAGTTAACAAATCAAAGCAAAAGAATATGGCTTTCCTTTCCTTAAGGCCTTTCTAGGATGCTTCATTCGACATCTAGGAGATAGATATACAAATGAGCAAGAATATGAATTCAAGCAAATGGATAGGCCTGTCAATTGAATTTTTTTTTTCTCAAACGATAACACTTTCATTAGCCAAATCAAAAGTTACAAAACAGGAGCATGTGCTCCTACATCTTTACTAGCTAAACTACATAGCCAGTCAGGAAATGATTCCTGCCACACCTTCTCATCTACCACTCGTAAGGCATATTTAGCCAAATGGTGAGCTACAGAGTTCACTCCCCTTCTGACAAAGGAGAAGGAACATTCAATGAAGTCCATTCTGAGCTTTAAAATATCAAACAGAATGACCCCCACACTTAGATCTTCTGCACTCTTTACGTTAAGTTTGTCAATTATTGCTTTGCAATCCGACTGTAGCACAATCTTCCCCCAATCCTTCTGCTTTGCAATGATCAAGGCCTTCCTGATTGCCATAGCCTCTTCCACAGCCGGATCCCCAATTCTATTTTCACTCCCTGCCCAGGCCCCCACCAAGGCACCATCATCGTTCCTTGCCACTATCCCCCATCCAACTTTCCTCTCTTGCATGTGCAAACTAGCATCAGTATTCATACAAATAAAACCTTTGGGAGGAGGAGTCCATTTGCCACCTACCATAGCTGCACCATCCCCAGTTCCTCTGCTCATATTAGCTTCAGAACTAATATTCCTGTACTCCAACCATTCTTGCACTGCTTTATTTACAGTCTGACCCGGGCACCTTTTTTCTCTATTGAAAAGAACTCCATTCCTTGCCTTCCACACCTGCCACAGGATGTTTATAGGAAGAGCAATATGGTCTCTCCCCTCCACCCTTTTTTGAGCCTCCATAAGACCATTCCACCAATGCCAGAAATTGTGTCTGAATTCCTGCAAACCATCCCACCTAATAGGAGCAGCTTTCCATATAAATTCAGCATTCCTGCAAAAAAACAGCATGTGTTCCAATGTCTCTGTCTGTTCTCCACATTGAACACATTTGTCATCTCCTTTTCCAGTTCTCCTTTTCAGCACCTCATTTACTGGTAGTATTCCCCTTAAGCACTTCCATATGAAATGTTTCAATTTATGTTTTATATTCAAACCCCATAAAAATTTCCAAGCTCCAGAGTTTGCCTCATTTCTACTGCTATATCCCCCTCCTACCTGTGTGCCCCTCTTCCTGCTTGACATCTCCTTAGCCAGCACATAACCAGATTTGACAGTGTATTTCCCCGAGTTGGACCTAGGCCAAACAAATCTATCCTTACTACCACATGTACTCAGAGGGATGCTCCCTATTCTAGCACAGTCATCCTCATTGAAAAGCGTCTGTAACAAGTCCATATTCCACTTACCATTGCTAATGAGCTCCTGCACCTTTACTATCTGACACCCTTCTGGTTTCCTAGATTGCACCATTCCACTCTCACTATTAACTATCCATTTATCATTCCATATATTAACAGAGCTTCCATCACCAACTCTTTTACAAACACCCGTATTTAGCAAATCCCTGGCACTCAGAACACTCTTCCAAATCCAGGAATCCCCACCCCTTTCCTTCACTCTCCAAATTGATGAACCTTTAAAATATCTACCCTTAATCACCCTACTAACCAGCAATCCAGGATTAGTCAACATTCTCCAAAGCTGTTTAGCTAACATAGCTTTATTAAAGCATTGGAGATCCCTGAAACCCAAACCCCCTTTCCCTTTTACATCAGACAACTTCCCCCATTCAATCCAATGAATCTTTTTCTGCTCCTCACTATCCCCCCACCAAAACTTAGCCATTTCTCTACATATGTCCTTACATAAAGACTTTGGCAACTTACAGCAGCTCATTGCATAGGTAGGAAGGGCCAAAATTACTGACTTCAACATCACTTCTTTACCTGCCTGACTTAAAAGTTTTTCCTTCCAGCCACCCATTCTAGTCACAACTTTATCCTTTATATAACTAAACACCTGTCTTTTTGGTCTTCCAATCACCATAGGAAGGCCCAAGTATCTGCTCTGTCTTGCAACCTTCATTCCCCCCAGCCCTCTCAGTACCTCCACTTTCCTACCCTCTCCTACATTCTTCCCAAAGAAAACAGAAGATTTTTCAACATTTACAATCTGACCTGAGGCTTCCCCATATAGCTTCAAAATCTGCATCACTTCATCAGCCTCCTCCTTATTAGCTTTACAAAAAATAAGAGTATCATCTGCAAAGAAAAGGTGAGATAAAGCTGGACAAGCCCGAGCCACTCTGAACCCAGTCAACCTTTGCTCCTGCATTGCCTTTTTCAACAGGTTAGAGAAACCTTCAGTAACAAGAAGGAAAAGGTAAGGAGATAAGGGATCTCCTTGCCTAATTCCTCTAGTTGGTTTCACAAAAACCTCTGCTCTCGCCATTTATATTAAAAGAAAAAGTCACAGAAGACATGCACTTTAAAATCCACTTAATCCAAGTTTGACAGAATCCCATTTGTTCCATCATTTTCACCACAAACTGCCATTCCACTCTATCATATGCCTTTGACATATCTAGTTTTAGGGTCATAAAGGCATTAGATCCACTCCTCATATTGTTCAAACAATGAATTGACTCATGAGCAATTATGACATTATCAATGATCTGTCTCCCAAGTATAAAGGCAGATTGATTATCACTGATGCAATGCTTCAACAAAGGTTTTAACCTATTAACTAGAATCTTAGAGATAATCCTATAAACCACATTACATAGGCTGATTGGTCTGAACTGAGACACACAAACAGGATTATCAACTTTCGGAATGAGAGTTATCATGGTACTATTAATGGCACTTAACAGGTTACCTGAGTGAAAAAAGCTAGAGACAGCATTTATAAGATCAAATTTGATGGTATTCCAAAATTGTTGAAAGAAAATAGGCGTCATACCATCAGGTCCAGGAGCTTTGTTTCGATGAAGGGAGAAAACAACTTTCCTGACTTCCTCTTCAGAAACAGGTCTCACCAGTCTTTGATTCATCTGCCTCGTAATCACCTGAGGAATTCCTTCCAAAACCGTGTCAAAAAGCTGAGGATTAGAAGAAGTGAACAGGACCCTAAAATACCCCTCTATCTCCTCCTCAATATCCTTCCCAGATTTACACCAATCCCCACCACTCTTCTGTAAAACTGAGATAGTATTCCTCCTCCTCCTACCCTCCACCATGGCATGAAAATACTTTGTATTTTTATCCCCTTCTTTTAACCAACAACTCCTAGCCTTCTGCCCCCAGAACACCTCCTCTCTTCTATAGGCCTCAGCCAATTTCCCCATCAGTTCCCTCTTTCTCTCTCTCCCATCCGTCTTGCCACTCCTTTGTAGCTCCCTCAATTCCTGCTTTATACACTTGATTTGTCTTTTAGCATTACTGTTGAGTCGCCTGATCCAGTCCAGAAGAGCCATTCTACACTCCTTTATTTTCATCTGTAGTCTATAACCTCTTGAACCAATTTGTTGTTTGCTCCAAGCTCTACTAACTACCTCCCCTACCCCTGGATTTTTAAGCCAATTTCTATCAAAACAGAACCTTCTCTTCCACTTCCTACCTCCTGGCTCTGTATCAAGCAACAACATGCAATGATCAGAGGCCTCATTTTGGATATGAATACATTTTGCCTTTCTGTAATCCTTCCTTCACCCTCCACTGACCATAATTCTGTCCAGTCTTTCTTTAATCTCCCCTTCATCCTCCCAGTTGTTACACCATGTCCACGGAATGCCCTCAAAACCTATATCTATCAGCTCATTCACACTAATGAAACTCCTGAATTTCCTAAAACTACTCTCAGGCCTCCTGATTCCACCCCATTTTTCATCATTATTGATAATATCATTCATATCCCCTGCAATCACCCAGTTTCTTCCCCATAAAGCCTTTCTTTCAGTGATAATGTTCCATTGTTTCTCTCTAACTGTCTCTATACTACTGGCATAGACACAGATGAGCCACCACTTAGACTTATCACCTGAGCCTTCAATCTGCAATTCTATCGAGAAATCAGTAAAAAGCACCCTACTAACAGCTAGTTCTTTCTTCCACATAACAGCCAGTCCTCCTGACCTACCAACAGGGTCCACTACAAACAGTTTATCATACCTCAACTTCATCCTAACTGTATTCATGAAACATTTCCTATTCTTAGTTTCTGCCAAGCAGATCACCTCTGGGGATTGGAGATTTACAATCTCCTTTAGTTGGGGAACTGTCAAGGGGCTCCCAGCACCTCGACAGTTCCACACCAGAGCCTGTCAATTGAATTACGTGAGTTGATTTTTAACATATTCGAACTCACCTCGTATAAAATACCATTCTTTTGAGCCAAAATTCAATTCAATTAAATTCACAAGTTTGTAACTGAAGCTCAACTCCCAAAAAAAGTGAGGCAATGGGTCTAATTTTGGTAAACCCAAACTCACGTGATATATCTTTCGTGTTAACAAAATCTATTTAGACGAAACTACCAGCAAACCCATAAACATTGTATAATATCTAAGTAAGGTTGCAACATGAAAAAAAATGTTTGAATTTCTAGATGAAAAATATTATAATTTATTATAACATCCATAAACTTATTGACTAGAGATTAAAAAAATAATTTACCATAAAAATAGTCATCTAAAATACAATCAGTTTAGTACTTTAGCAGTGGCTACTAAAAAAAAGAGCAAATTATCCGGTTGGCCATTAAACTTTTGCGATCGTCGAGTTTTGGTCACTCAACTTTTAAAGGTCTGGTTTTGGCCACTAAACTGTATAAAGATGAGACGCGAGACCATTCTGTTGCATTTAGTCGTTAAGTTGTTTGATCTGTCCGTTAGCGTGGTTTCCAAGACAAAAGACAGGGTCTTTTTAGGAAGTTCATGGTAGCATTCAATGCTTCTCTCAAAAATTGTCGCTTTTCTTCCTCCCCCTCCTCAAATCTTCGTCAAACCCTTTTCATCCACCGCAGGTATCACTCCTCCAACGCCACCAGTGGATTTCCGAGCGTCAAATTCTTCGCTGCACCTGCAAATGCCAAGACCGCCATCCCGGAGAAGTCGTTCTACTTTGAAAGCCAGAGGGGTAATTTTATACCCTGCGTCAAAACCTTTGTGGGGTGACACATCATTTAAATCAAATTGTTATTGGAGCTTTGCAGCATAATCTACAATGGCAGATAGATCTGAAGATTGAGCGGTGCCCACTTGGATTATTACGGCATACACCTGTACCTTTTTACTGTGGGTTGGGAAAAAAATGTGTACAAGTTTCAAAGTTAAGTTTCTGCATCTGCTTTTTCCACTCTGTTTCTTCCATCTAGACTTTGGATGTGGCTGCCGGTGCAAGGATGGGCGTGGATAAAGCTTGAAATCAGTTTCCTATCTGGAAAATGCTTGTCGAAAATTAGGATAATTCAGGAAGAATAGACATGAAGGATTTGGCCAGAATTAGAATTATTTTTGTCTTTTAACCTTTTTGATCAAATTCTGATTAGAATTTTTCCGAACCTTTCCGATCAATTCTGATTAAACTGCATCTTGGGTTGCAATAGCATCTTCCAGGGATAAAAATGATTTCTCGGTTTCTCCACCATGCTAATGGACCAATGACCTGTCTATATGGAAAGGTCGAATCGAGTGGTTGGAAAAGGAAAAAAAAAAGTGAAAGCTAGAGAAGTAGTCCTTGTAGCAGATGCGAACGAGTTCATGGGCCTTGAGCTCCAAATGTTATACTGCATTATGTCAATCGCCGGGACAAGATCGCCGGAGTTCCGCGCTCCAAGCTAGGCTTCTTCCATTTCCTTCTCTCTTGTAGTTTCTCGAGTGAATTTGCCTTCCTTAGGTTTATGCAAAAAGAAGAAGAAGTGCTATTTTGAACTTCCTAAAAAGACCCCGTCTTTTGTCTTGGAAACCACGCTAACGGACAGATCAAAGTACTTAACGGCTAAATGTAACAGAATGGTCTCGCGTCTCATCTTTATACAGTTTAGTGGCCAAAACCAGACCTTTAAAAGTTGAGTGACCAAAACTCGACGATCGCAAAAGTTTAATGGCCAACCGGATAATTTGCTCCTAAAAAAAATAAACAATGCATTGTATATACGTGTGTGTATTAGTCGGACTGAGTTTAGTATAGCCCAAACTCAGCTCATATTCAAATCGGGTAAAATATTTTAATCCAAACTCAAATCATCTCATATTTTATAAGATTCAGCCCAATAAATTTAAGCATGAGTACGTAGACTGAGTTTAAAACAAATTTAATCACACATCACTCCACTTGGTTTTTTTTTTTTCCTTTGGGTTGAAAGAGAAAATCATGCTTGGCAACAGATGACCAATCTAAGACTAACACAAAAACACCTGCGCAAATTTCAACATATGCTACGTACTTAAAACTTGTGAAAACATGGCAACAACCGAACATATGACCCATCTAAAACAAACACAAAACACCAACAAAAAACTTCAAATTTTGATTGGACTTTAATAGTTTAATTCTTGCAATGTCTTCGCCGGTTTAACTCTTGCAATCTGGATGGTAGGGATAGGACTCAAAATTGGTTTACACTGTCATCTTCAACATCACACATACTAAGGTCATCCAATTTGATGAATTCACCTAACAGAAAACCATGGCTCCATTTGGCAAGTGAGTTTTTTTGAATGTTTGTTTAAAACTTTACTGTAACTTACTGTAGAAGTTTTTAAAAAAATTTTTAAAGTGTGTTTTTTTTTTAATATTTTGAAGTGTATAGTTTAAAAACTTTAAAAAGTTTTTTGAGGTTACTGTAGTTAGAATTTTTAAAAAACTTGTAGCAGACAAACTTATCTTCCAAACTATGGATTTTCAGAATTAACTAAAGCTCCTCTGGCAAAATGGACAAATTCTCCCTTGACCACTACCCCATTGGCTAGAGGTGTAACTGCACCAGCACCAGTCTCTCCACTTTTGAGGATGATGACATCGCCTTCCAACTTCTACAAAACGAATGGTGATTAACAGAGCAATATTGGATTAGATTCTTCACCCGAGATGGGCTTCTCGACAGATCCTCTTCGTTAACTTTGTAACTGAAATCAGGCGAGGGAGTGACATTCTTAGTGGAGCTTTTGATGTTTGCATCATCAGAATCTTGTGAGGAATGAACTCTCTTGATGGAGTTTTTGATACTTGCAATATAAAGCTTTCTTGACTTTATTCTTCTCATGGTATCTTTGTCGATGGAGTTCTTGGTACTGCTGAATTTGTTGATGGAAAAGACGTTACCCTACTTGGGGTTGAACTAGAGAAAGATGTCGCCCTCTAGCTGAGCTTTCAATGAGTCAAATTAAGTTGAATATTTGATGTTTAGACTTTATTCATATATTATATGAACCGTGTTCAAGTTCAATAATTTATTAAACAAATTATAAGTGTTATTAAAATTCAATTTGACAACTTATCAACATGCAACTCACAATAGCGACCCACATCAACCAATCAAAAAGACTTGCTTGGGAACTTGGCTTAATTGTTCACAATGCAATACAAACTAAGATTTATATTAGAGGTGTCAAAATGAGTGACTTGGGCGGGTTTGGGTTGGGATTTGATGGGTAATGGGTATAAGTAAGTCAACCCATTTATACCCATTTAATTAGATGGGTATAAATGGGTAAGTTAAAAAATGAATTGGGTAACCCAATTACCCATTTATTTTAACTTTTTGTAAACTCATTTAAATTCATTTTTGCAAACTAAGTTATCAATTTATACCACTCTTTGTACCCATCATTAGTTTTAAATATTTACTTATATTGCTCAATAAGCCTAATTACCAATTTTTTTTCATTTATACTCTAAGTCACAAAATTACATATTATTTAATAATTGAATAATAAGAATAGAAAAATTTGAACTAAGTACTATAAAAGTTAATATAAAAACTTAATCCAAAAATTTTGAACCCCTAACATTTTTTTCATATATAAAATTTAAATTTTCATTTTAGAAAGATAAGAAAAGAGGCTAAAACTTATCATAAATTGGTAATACTTAAAAATGAGCAAGTTAACAAACTAAGAGAAAATAAAATAATAAGATAAAATCAACAAATAATAATAATAATGAAACAAAAGTAGTTAACATCATGACAACATAAAAAAATTGCCAAAAAAAAGGGTGGGGGAAGAGAAGAGACTTGGGAGAAGAGAATTCTAAATGGGTTAATTGGATTTGATGGGTTACCCAATAAATGGGTATTATTGGGTAATCCATTTATACCCGTATACAAAAATTTAAGATACCCATACCCATCTATTCATGGGCAGGTATGGGTAAATTTAGTTAAGTGAGTTGGTTTGCCACCTATAATTTATATTAGCGATCTTCTAAGACTGCAACACCTCCTTATTAACTGTCTACACCTACCAAAAACAAGCGTTTACCACTCATTTGGTACATCATGAAGCTGGTTGGATGGTACTTCATCTCTGTAATCTTTTATATGGTGCTCATTATTCTCACACTTTACGGTCTACTTATTTCAATTGTTAAAATAACAGATGTTCCCAGCTTTATATGGAGATTACAGAACAAGATTCTTCATCTACTGGACTGTAAGTCATCACATATGATCTGAATTCTATTACGGACTTGTACTAAAATTTGGAAATTGTGACAGAGAGGTGGCTATCGATCCACTGGGTTCTACAACCTGAACTGTCCTGGCTTTGTTCATACCAACAAAAACATAGCATTGGGAACCACCATTGAGCGGATTTCTGCCCATCATGGTCCACAATATGATTTACCCTTTTTTATTTGGAAGGTAATGAGAACCCAAATGGTGAGCAATTAACACAGGTCAGTGGTTAAAAGTGTTTATCATCTTGGAACAAGACTCTTTGTTCTCATGAGACTGATTCTGTCCCTTTATTTATTTGTTTTATTGGCCTTAATTTCCAGCCCCTTCCTTTCAAAAATATATCTTATGTTATATAGTAGCTATAGAAGTTGATTGTAGTGAACCTATTCAATTTTTTAAATTGTTATTCTACACAGATTCGATCAAAATTTAGCCAGTTGGTGAAAATTAGTTAAGACACAATAAAAGATATGTGGTGGCTAAAATATTGAAACAACACTTTAATTGGTTACTGTCGTGCCTCCATATATTTACGGACCTGGCTGACAGCGCTTCAATGAGCCGATGGGGAGGAGAGGTGGTAAACAATGTCATAATTGGCCAACACACTGCAGCTGAAATGGGCTGTGGCCATTTTCCAGAAGAAAAGTTCGAACGGTCAAGTCATTTCATGAATCTTCTAAGTAGTAGGTGAATCAAATAATTCGATACTCCCTGGATAAACACTGTTATAAATGGCACTTTAAAACTTTTTTTAAACTTTTTTTTCTTTTTTAACCAAAAAAAATCTTAGATTACCAAAGCTTCGAAGTCACACATTGGATACCATTACAAACATGACCATGACAAGTCTAATGAAATTGAAGAACCATATATACAAGCTAGTGGAATCGCAGGCTGGCTGTAACTTGTAAGATGAACTTTGGGTGGGTACCAAGGCCATAGTTATCAAGGTTTACAAGCAATCAACATGAACAATTAACACCTAGCAATGCATCACTATTCCTGCACTGGTTTTCAGTAATTCTTATAATTAAATAGATGTGATTGCTAATGCTCTTTTAGGTGAGTGCAGGTTAATATGTCACTAGATCTTGTCCAAGTTAGTGTCTTTGTGATAAATATCTTGCAGCTGCTTTTCTGTACAACCATAATAGATTCCTATGGACAAAGCATGATTAATTTTGAACAAGTGAATACATAATGTAAGACATTTGAAATTTATTGAGAATAAAGATGAAAAGTTAAGAATTATAAAGGAACTTGCACTCCCAAAGTTAAGACTGAAAAAACATAAATCCAAAGGGAAATATTGAACGTAATTAAGGACATAGCGTTCATATCTAATCTATCTATTCGAGTCAAATTTAAAAAATACAATTAGAAGCACAACTATTCTCGTTACATCTGCTTGGGGTCTTGTGTTATAGACGGGGCTGGAATGGTTGCAGAAGCAACCGTTCCTGAGGGTTATGTGCATTTTGCACATGGTATAACTCTATTTGCACACAATATAACTTACTTTTAACAACACGTAACTTTAAAACAAAATTTTGTGGGTCCCACACATATTGTTAAAAATGAAGTACAAGATGAAATCTAGACCTTACAAATTTTTTTTGGCCAAATCTTGGCCGTAAACTGCCTGCTACCTGCAACCGTCCGTGCCCCTCATCCCTTGTGTTACACATTTTCCTGATATACACCCTGTTACATAATTTGTTAAATTGACAAATACCTCAAAATATATTGACTAAAAGAGATGTTTTAAAACCTGGATTTTTATTCATTATTATATGAAATATGTGTCAATTTGATAGGTGGTGTAACAATAGTGTAATAGAAAAAGTAGAAGTAGAAGATCCTTTTGGTCATAATTTTTTGAGTTTATCTAACGGGTGTATAATAGGAACTTGTTAACATATCTAAAATTCTCTCAATCTACCATATATACACATATATTATAATTTATTCTCTCTTACATTTATATATTTTTCTTATTTAATCTTACCTACTCTCCTTTGTATTTATTTATTTTTTCTAATTAATCTTACATTTTAAAAAATATAACACCTAAAATATATCTTAATAGATGTCCATTGGGCACCTGTGCCCTTTTTTTTACAACTTTTTCGAGGTAAGGCTATTAAAACTTACCATATAACGTCTGCAATGGCCATTTTCGTCGAGAAAAGCTTGGCGGATCAAGTATATTAGGGTTCTTCAAGCAATTGATGAATCAAACAATTTGGTGATTCCTGAAGATATCATCACTCGTGTTGACAATGCAAATTGCTATGATGTAGAATATGGACCGTCTGCTCATCTAGGAGATACTCCCTCCCTTTTTTTTATAACTGACGTTTAAGAAATTTGTTCTTAATTACTTTTATCTGTCATTTTACTATCCCCATGCAGCATTAATTATTTTTTCACAATTTTACCCTTTTATCTCTCTTTTCCAATACAGGGTCCTTAATTACTACTCCTAATAAAACAGCACCATTTAGTACTCTAGTGAGAGAAAACATGGGTGAATTGGACAATTAATGAGGGTACAAAAGGAAAGTAGTGTATAGATTTAAACAATGAAAAACTTTTCTTAATTGGTGTGCAAAACCTTAAACGTCAGTTATAAAAAAAGGGAGGGAGTATGTTATTCTACGGAGGGCCAGGGAAAAATGATAATTGTCCATGATGTTTTTTCTCTGTAACCCGTGTAACCCTTTTTATAATTTCAAATGCTTTGCACAGTCAGTTCATCCTAAAAAAAAAAAAGTCAATTCGTCGTTCAAATTATTAAAGTGTCAAAATGACAGAATTTCTATTCCATGACAGTCCATACTTTTAAAATTCAAATCGTTAAATGATGAAATGACATATAAACCTTTCCAACCCGTCTTCAGCAAAGCACCATCTCTGTTGCTGCACCTAGCTATTATTCGTGTTTTCTGTAACCATGATGGTTGCCGAAGACAAGGTCAAGAAAGAAGAGACAGCTTTACATTCACAGGTTGATTTCAAAAAATAAAAATCAGAAAATGTACCAGCAGGTCATCAATGGGCTATGAATGGTGAAGGAAGCGGAGGAGAAAATCGGATTTGGAATGGTGGCGAGGAGGGCAAGGCGGAAGAAGAGCCATAATGGAATAGAGAGGAGTGGGTGATGGTCCTGGGCTCGGATAAATTATGGAGGGGAACTAGTAGCTGCTGGTGGTGGTGGTTGTGGTCGGTGCGATGGTGGTTGAACTTGAGGGAGGATGCAAGAGAAGCGGTTGGAGGTGGTGATGGTGGTTGAGGAAGGAAGACCAAAAGTTAAAGAAGATCTCTCGGGGAAGAAGGTAGTTTACCATAACTGTAATTTGACCCATGATACTTTTAAAAAAAAATGTTAGTTTCACTTAAGAAATGAAAAAGAAAAGAAATAATTCCTCCATCCCACTTTGATAGTCCTGTATTCCTTTTCCATCTGTCCTAAATTTATAGTTCACTTTCCAATTGAAGAACGTAATTGTATTTTAATTTTCATAAAATACCCTTATTCAATGTAAGTAATTGTTACTATAAACCTACCCCATTTAATGAGAATTGATTCTTTTTTTATCATCAATTCAAGTTCCCATAAAGTTGTACCATATTTAATGTGAGGGCATTTTAGAAAAATAGCAATCTAAATTTACTTTTCCAACCAAGTTAACTATTTTTTCTTAAAATGTATGAAAAAAGAAACAAAACTATTAAAGTGAGACGGAGGAAGTATTAAATTATGAATTTGACCACTATTTAATTTTTAGTTTGACAGAAAAGTTGGGCGACAATTTAATCCAAACCATTAGAAGATACATAGTTTTAAAAATCATATCAAAGTTATGTGAAAGAACACTAGATCAAAAGAGGTATACATGCAATTTATCATTTTTTATTCTTGTCAATTATTGAAGACATGACAGGTAAAATTTGTTGCACAAGGCATGTCAAAATCTTCTAAGATTCATATTGTATAATTGACAAATTTAAAAGTTAATTAAGAACCATTTTCTTGTCATGATTTGAAGTTTGAACCAATCAAACCTAATTAAAGCAAACAAGAATCCAACTGTTGCTCTGCACACTCACTTAATACTAATTCAATTAGCCATATGCACTCTGTTCTCTGGATAAAGAAATTTGTGAGATCTTTGCCACAGGAAGAATGTGACCTAACCAAGCTAAGAAACCCATTTAGAAACACACGGCGACCCGACTCCGACCCGGATCGGTTTCGGATCCGGACTCAGGCCTAAACCCATCCAAACTAAAACCGCTGAATTTTGTCGCCCTTCACCACCGGGTTTGCCTTGGCTATGGCATCCCGGCCCTGGCCCTTGAAATCGAAGGTACAATCGTGCTTTTCTGGGTATCTGTGGAGCCCACATAAGGTACTACCACATCTGCAGGTGAACCCCATCACCCCTACTTTTTTATTGCAACAAAAGCACCTATTACTCTTCACAACCGCCGCCGGCGCCGAAACCGCTTCCTCCTGCCTCTCAACTTGCTCCGCCGCCGTACCGTAAGACTCTGGAGAACCCACATGAGAAGCATCATCGGCCTTTTTCTGAGACGTCACGAGCTTCTCCAAGGCAACCTTAGCAGCTGCCTTTTGTTGTTCTTCCATCTGGAAATCCTTGTAGCACTTTGAGCAGAGATTCATCGTCGCCGGTGAGCCGAAAAATCCGCAGCCGTTCGCGCACAAGGTCGGCTTCGATGGCTGGTAGCTGGTGCCGTCGTTCATCTTGTTTCCTTCAGAACCCATCTTCAGATAGTCAATGATTTTGTTCTTCGGATTTTTTGGACGAAATTTTTCAGAAAACAAGGGAGAAAGAGCGCTTTCAGGTTAAGGCTGCTTCTGTTTCGTGGGGAAGTTAACTATGAATAAATAGAGGTTTGGTGGTCAAAAAGCCTATTTAATGACGGTGGATTTGGTGAATTGACGCGACTACCCTCAGACAGAGTCCACGGGCTTGTTTGGAAGTGAATTTTTGGCCAAGTTTTTTAGCTACTAGTTTTTTAATAATTTTTGCTACAGAAATCCCAAAAAACTTATCAAAGTTTTTTACTTACACATTTCAAAATAATACACAAAAAACTTTCCCTTTAACTTTTCTTCTTTTTCCTCCCCCACCCAACTGGCCACCACCTCCACCACCGCTTCCGGCGCCGGTAACTATTCCGGCCAACTTTTGTCGGCCTTCCACTTTTTTTTTCCTCTCCCTTCCCTCCCTTGACCGATATGTTGGTTTCCAAAATCTCTTTTTTCTTTTTTTTTTCTTTCTCCCTCCCCCCTCCCCTCTTTCCCTCTGTCTTTCCCCCGCCACCTTCCCCCTCCCGCAGCTTGGGGAGAAGGAAAATTGCAAAAAAAAAAAAAAAAAAAAATTACACTTGGCTGTTGCTGCTTATTCTGCCGGCAAGATAAGGAGAGGAGAGGGAGATGGAACATTGGAAAAAAAAATCATTTCTGTTGCTGCAAAACTCATGTGCAAAACTCAGGTGGCAGTAGAGGGAGAGGGAGAGGGAGGGGTGGCGGGGAAGCTTTTGCAGGGGTGGGGGAGGGGGTGACGGGGCAGAGGGGGAAGGCGGGGCAGAGAGGGTGGCGGGCAGAGGCGAAGGCGCAGAGGGGGGTGGCAGGGGGAGGGGGTGGCGGGGCAGAGGGGGAGAGAAGGGGAAAGGGAGGAAAGGGGTGGCGGAAGGTGGCATTGGTGGAGTTGCTGCTGGGGGTGGCGGAGGTAACGGGGAAGGGGGAGGGGGAAGGAAGCAGAAGAAGAAGAATGAGAGAGGAAAGAAAAGAAAAAGAAAAAAAAAGAAAAAGAAAAAAAAAGAAAAGGAAAAAAAAAGTTTTTCACCCTACAAAAACTTCTACAAAATTTTTCACCTTACAAAAACTTCTACAAAATTTTTCACCTTACAAAAACTTCTACAAAATTTTTTCAAAAACTTCTACAGTACACTACAATAAAATTTTAGACAAACTGCCAAAAAACTTAGGTTCCAAACAGGCCATTAGAGCCGGAGATAGGGGTATAATAACGAGGGGGTAGACTGGGTAGTCCTGGGAAAGAACTGCAAAATCCAACTTCATTAACACGTTTAATTAGTGGTCAAGGATAAACCAAAAATGAAAATACATATGGATAATTCATAGTCTTTACACTCTCAACCGATAGTTGTCAGATCAGCGTACTATACTGGCCTGCCTTCCCTTTTTTTTTTTTTTTTTTTCTGGACACGATAGATTTTAATTTAGGCTTACTTCTACTCTATATTAGGGAAAAGGGAAAAGGGAAGTGACCTGAAATGATTAGGGGAGAACACGAGAGAACTGAACCACCATCGGACCATTGGTCCAAACGGGTACCTATGTACTCATTGGCGAAACTTTTCAGAAAATTTTGAATTTTTAAGAATACAAGTTATAAAATTTAATTCCTTAACCTACACTTAAATAGAGATTTAAAACTCTCTTGGCCAACTACAGTTAAGAGTAGTTGGCTACCCGCCTCCTTGTTCACCTGGCTGCAGATAGTGCTTCAGTGAATGGATAGGGTGGCGAGGTGGTAAACTCCACAATAAATGGGCTACACACTACAAGTCATATGAGTAGTGCTCATTTTCCTCAAGAAAAGTTTGGAGGGCCAAAATTTTTCAAGAATCTTCAAGTAGTCAACCCCAAATTGCTAGAATATAGTGCTTGGAAAGCATGATGATGATTGGGGAGATTTCGTTTACCATGGAGGACCAGGAAAATATGGTAATTGTCCCCGATGTTTTAGGTACTGATTAATGATGCCCTGTCTCTCTATATTACATAATTAAATATGAATAATAGGAGGGTTTTTTGAAAGCAAATATGATACTTTCCCTGTCCGATATGGTAAGTCAATTTTTAACCGTTTCCTAAGTGCTCAATGCTACGAACATCTTCTTTTCTTGTCATTTTTTTTTACTGCAAAATTTTTCATATCGTCACTTTTTAGAGGCATGGATAGGGGGTGGCAACGGGGCGGAGTTGGGGCGGGGGTCCCCTCCCCCATCCCCCGCCCCCGCCCCTATCCCGCCCCGCTTTCCCCGCGGGACTAATAAAAATTTGTTATATAATTTTATTATGGTTAAATTTTAGCAAATAATCAAGTACTAAAATATCAACACATCATCAAATTATTATTCATTGTAATTTTACAATTGAAACTTATAAAAACAATCAAACAAAAATTATTTGAGTACAATCCAACATGATGAAATAAATATAACTAAAGTAGTCAAGTTTTCACTTTTGGCACAAATACAATCACTAATTCATTATTGTGCTTGTGCTCTTTTTTAAGAAAAAAA